TTTTTTTTTCGGCTGGTGAAAAACAGATTGAGTGTTGGGATGCTGGGCCTGAGGTTTGTGTCCCTGGAGGTTTCCTTTCTATCTTTGTGTTTGGGCCATGCCGAAGGTTTTTGCTGAAAAATGAATGAGTTTCCTTAATTTTCAATATGACTGGGAAAGATACCCAAATACTTTCCAAACTCTTAATTAATGTTTTAGCAGAAATTACTTTTTGTTCATGTGATGCTGTGGTGTAACTCACACCCATCCTAGTTAATGCTTTGCTTCTGACGTTTGTATATCTTTTATTTGAAAACATTGTTGTTTAGTTGTAACTTTCTATTCATACCATACACAAGGAAGCTTATTTGCTTTTTTGTATTTCTTTCTGTAAATATTTTTATTTTTGTATTTCCAGTCTTTCGAAAGGAATATGGTAATCAGGTTCAGAGTTAATGAGCCACTGCCCGTTTTTCGCTAGGAAAAACAGAAAACCAAACATTTTCCTAATCTTTTATTTTCTTGTAGGTATCTTTGTTGATGCTGTAAATTCCTTGGGCCAAACTTCTCTCTTCACTGCTGCTTTGCTAGGTCTTGGTAAAATAGTGGATGTGCTGTTGGATTTCGGCTCAGACCCTAATCAGTTAAGTAAAAAATGTACATTTCCATTCTTAAATTGAAACTGATATTACCTTTAATGTTTTCAGTCAACGTAATGCACGATTTTTGCTGCATTTAAATGAAGAAGTGCTTAAGATGAACGTTACTATTTTAGCGCAAGATCCTCAGAGGTAAGGAGGTGCTTAAGTTTCCTTACCTCCGGGTATATGTTGTTGCTTGGGAGCACATAAACATTCTAGGTGTGTTACTTTTTTCCCCAGAGGCACAGCTAGTTGAGTGTGGTAGGGGTAGGTTGAAACATTTCTCCTTTAATGTTCCTCAGTCGCTGTTATGATGGAAGCACCCCAGTCCATGCAGCTGCGTTCTCGGGAAATCAGTGGATTCTTAGCAAGTTACTGGATGGAGGAGGTGATCTGAGAGTACATGATAAAGATGGAAAAAATCCGCAGTACTGGGCAATGTCAGCTGGAAAAGAAAGTAGTGCTCAGGTATATAGATGTGTGTGTTGAGTATGTGCTAGGTATGTGTTCACACCTTTATCTTGAAGTGAAGAAACCTCAGCATTTCAAGGAGAAATTACTGAGGTTTTGTGTTAGAAAAATTATTTAAATTTTTTTTTTTGGCCGTAATGGCGGTATTCTGGAGTCCTGTTGATTCAGATTATTTAACTAAGGTTTTACGGAGGTGCAGGGGCCTGTCTGTGTCTATAACCTTTTTGGTCTATTATGTGTAAGTGTACTATGAGGAGAATAACAGGCCCTTGTTTTCAGTCCCTGATCTAATTTGTTTGCGTGCATGTGTAATTTGGGAATAAACCCATTAGAGGTTTTAAAGCTTTTCATGAGTTCTGCATGCCTCAGTCTGTGAGTGATCACTCTCAAAAAAATATAAATGCCATTTTTGTTAGCGTGGTAGCAAGCTATAAGAAGAGAACTTATTTATTTAGAACTACAACATTGATTTAAAACTGATGTTGTAATATTCCTCTTTTCTTTTGTTATAATATTCTTCTAAAATGTTACAGTTTTCAGTGGGTGAATTGTCTTGGGAGTGTTAATCATTTAGTGTTTGAAGTGGGCTTTCTTACCTTTCCATGCAATTGACTTTCTTCAAGTTTTCCTGTGTGTCTATTTGCTGGAGTTACTATTTAAATATTGTAAGTAATAAGTTACTTTTTTCCTTAGTCACGGTTTAGTTATTTAAAATAGAATAACTTACAGTTCTGAAGTAGTGTTTTCCCCCTCACCCCCTTTAGATGTTAGAATTTATACAGCGTTGTACAGCACACATGCAGGCCGCCATTCACAATTTTCCCTCTGATCTACTCAGGAAGGTTGACTCATCGAAAGCACTGGTCTGTAATCCATCTAGGTTTGGTGGCCTCGTTCAAGGGTAAGAATTTATTTTTCAAGTGCTGAGGAACTAAGCTACAAGGCATTTAAATTTCGTATTCTAGTATCTTAAAATTAACATGTTTTTGTCTCTTTTTTTACAATATCCAATTTAAAACCTGACTGATTGTTTAAACATATATTTGGAATATCTTTTTTTTTATTTTTGTTATGGGAGTTCCAAAGGGGAACTTGATAGCTGCAAATATTACTTACCCTTGCAATAGGTAATATGAAATATTCTATTTTAGTAGTGTTAGAATAGCTGTAACGTGAAGTAGTTTCAGCTTCTTGATTTTTTTGAAAGGCGTTGCGAAACTTTTGGAGGGATATTTGTAGCCATTTCATGCCCTTTTAGGCCAGATGTGCGTTAAGAAAATAATATACTTGTGAACGAAGTGGTTTGGCAGCCTAGAGATATATACACACACGCACACACACACACACACACATATATATGTATTTCTGGCTATCTTGCTTGGAACAAACGGATCCTAACAGTGCATTTATTGTGCAAGCTATTAGCATTCTAAACTTGGAATAGCTTGGAATTTCAGCATCTAATTGTACTGGTGAGAATGCCTTTCAGTTTTAGTGTGGGACCAAATAAGCACAGTGGTTAAAATACCTGGCTATTGCAGTATTTATGATTTTGTCTTTCTTCACTCAAACCTTGGCCTATGTCATTATTCTTACTGCTTGTATGTTTTTGATACTTAGAAATGTTGAGAGTCCTCTCAGTAGATTTCTAAAAGGTGGAGCTAATTCAGCCAGGAACATTTACAGCTTTGGTTTTGGGAAGGTAAGATACTATGGATAATGTTTTTCAAATGATATTAGTACAGTTTTCATTTTCTTCATAGCAATTACCCTGTCTGTGTTGTTTTTAATTATTAGTATGCTTTTATCCCTACTGAAATGAGGGGGGGGAGGGGAAACTGTGGAGAGCCCAAATATTCAGGGGTCATTAGTCATTAGTAAGTCCTATCAGGTGAGTCTGTTTTGGAACAATCAATAAAGACTCACTTGTGAAATTTCACATGTGTTATTAGTGGCTGTTTGAGCTGTTCTTATTTCAACTTAAATAGAAAGTTAAGCTTTTGACATGGACATCTTAACATTGCCAAAATAGCAAAGTTAAATCTTTCCATTGCAGTGATGTTGTTAAAGTTTTCAGTGAGTTTGTGGTGGATGTGATCTTGGGAACTTGCATATTCCTTTTGGTTATGCCCTGGTTTTGTTTCAGTTTTATCTTACAGGCAGCAGACATCTCGGGTACTTGGCATCTCTCCCTATTATTGGGGAAAAAGAAGTGGTTCAGGCAGATGATGAACCAACATTCTCTTACCTCGTTGGACCGTACATGATTATGACAAAGTGAGTAGGACTCAAAGGGATTTTTAGCATCTCTCCACCTCAAGCCTCTGGGTATGTATGGCTGTGGCCCACCTGCTCAAAACTACGGTGAGATGAGTGTTGCAAGGCCTGAGCCTTTTTTTTTCTCTCTTTCTTTCTTTTAATCTTTTGTATTCTGTAGCAAGTATTTCTGCCTTAGAGGCATACAGAGAATCAGCAAATTGGTGATTTAATCCTCCCAAAGATCTGACTTGCATCACAGTGGGCTGAGAGGGGTTTTGCAGCGTCATTATTCTTTGCCTTGGGTCATGAGAAGGTAGTATCTTTGGACAGTAGACCTGTCCTGCTACGCCTAGTCTTTAACAGGATGAGAACTTACTGTTAATTTGAAAGACTCTTTGCCTGTTGCCTGGGTCATCAAAATAATGGCATTGTTACTGATGGTAGGAGACAGCATCAGAGCTGTTGGAATTACAAAATTATTTGTAAGTAATCCTGTAACTGGAAAAAAAAAAAGTGCAAAATATCTTGTAGAAACTCCTCTTCTCCTTATAGCTTAATGTGGGGAGGCAGCAGAGTTACAGTGAAGGAACTCAGCTTTGAGCCCCATCAGAACTGTAGTAAACTGCGCTTAGCTGATCTTCTCATTGCAGAGCAGGAATATAGCAGGTAAGAAAGAATTTGTAGTGGCCAAAAGTTCTCCTGGGGTTTGGGTCTCTCCAGAGATGTGAGGAAGTGTGAATGAATAACCTCAGGAACAAAAAAGCACCTGCCGCGTGCTTTTTTTTCCAAATGAGAAATAAATGTTATTTTCCACCTCTCTGTCTCTTCCCACCTCCTTTCCTGCCTGGAATGGCTAGTAGGGGAGGAGATGAGATTCTCTTCTCCTATGTCTGTGTGAATACTGCATTGCATGTTCCTGGATGGCAAACACGAAGAATCTATAAATCCTAGATTCTCCTAGTAGCAGCAATTAACATTCTTTCCTGAATGCCTTCTCATCAGTGGTTCTTTTATAATTTTCTGTGTTTTAATGATAAGTTGAAAACATTCATGTTGTCTTGATAAAAAAGACCTAGAAGGCCGGGACACTCTCTCCTTTAATCTCAGATTTACCTTACGCTTTTTTCCTCTCCCTTTGCAGTAAACTTCGTCATCCTCATTTGCTGCAGTTGATGTCTGTCTGTCTGTCTAGTGACTTGGAGAAAACCCGTTTAGTATATGAGAGGGTAAACTTTGGTTCTCTGTACAGCATTCTACATGAAAGGGTAATTGGAATATTTGTTTTTAAATAAAAAGAAGTTTGGTAACTAGATCTACAGTCTTTACTCAAAGAACAAAAAGACAAAATCATCTCTCTGTGTCTGTATTCAGGCTTCTGTATCATTGAACAGTATTGGATACTCTGTGCAGGCTTGTAAGTATTTGCCCATGGCAAACCTTAATCCTGTTAGGGGCTTTTCTTTCTTCTGGAGAGATGTAATTAACTGTTGCGGGTAGTTCTTAGTCCCAGCTGGCTGCAGGATATATAGGAGAGCCCCTTTTGGTTCTAGATACAGAAGAAGGACATACGCTGTATCTTATTTCACGTTGCTCTTTTTGTTAACAAAGTCAAGTGGAAGGAGCAGCTGAGTTCTTAATCCTGCACAGTTTGTGAATTGTTTGAGTACCTGTTTGGCTTTTTTCTACTACATCTGTTCTAATTCATAGGAGTTCACTGATGTCTTCGATTAATGTGCAATTACATTGACTTTCCATTTTTATTTTTATTTTTTTTTTGAACAGTTTTAAAATAGTTGCTGTTAAATGTATTTGCACTTTTAACTTCCTGCATGTGATTGTACATTGCAAATGTGACAAAATCAGCTTTTGCCCTGGAATGTTTGCATTCACTGTATTGCAAACTGCATGTCCTGTGTGTAAAAGTGAAGGCTTGAGCTCAGTTCGTTTTTTACCAACTGGTTTGTGTTTTATTAGTGTCACTGAACATTTTTTATCTCTCTCTTTTTCTCAGTTATTTGAATCCTAATTTTTCTCCTTTAAGGGATGGAATGCAGACATCTAAGTTACTGGAGAAATTGTAGATAAAAGCTGGAGATTCTAAGAGTTGATTCTGCTTCAAGATGAATTTTGGGATATTCAATCGATATTTTCTTAGTTACTGCTTAATGTATTACTGTTTGGTTTGATTCTGAGTACATATACGTTATTCAGCAAGGGTAATTTGTCTGACTTTTACTACAGTATGTTTCATTTTCACTTTCTTTGCCTCCTACTGTACGATAATACTTTTTTTTTTTTTTTTTACTGTTTCAAGCTGTAATGACCTCCAATGCAAATTTGGGATTCTGTTTCTTTCAGCGTTCAGAATTCCCTGTGCTGCGCATGGAGACAATTTTACATCTGCTGCTTCAAATTAATGACACTTTGCGTTTTCTACATTCCCGTGGATTTATCCACCGTTCGGTTACCTCCTATGCTATTCAAATCGTTTCTTCTGGTGAGGCAAAGTTATGCAACTTGGAATACATGATAGAGAGGTAAAGAACTGCCTCAATGTTTTCTGTGAAAGGGACGTACGCAAGTAAAGCTGAATTTAGTGCTAAATTCTGGTGGTGTGATTTAGCAGATGCCCTTGATTGCTAGGCACACCCCCTTCCTGCCTCTAGTGGGCAGTTAAAAAATTGGCAGTGGGAGTTTAAAAAGTTAATTGTTACTGCTCAGGTATATTAACTTGTTTCAGGTAACGTGGCAAATTTCAAGTGGACTTGATTTTTATGTTAATTGTAAACATTTGAAAATAAAAAGTAGTAAAAGAAGCTCTTTACAGGAGTATAAAAGTACTATCATGGAGAAATAGAGCCTAATCTTAGTGAACAGAGATGCAATTCCTCTTTGAGTCACTAATTCTGCTGCTGGGCTAAAAATAATTTAAGCCCATTCTTGTTATAATGAACTTGTGCTTATGGAGACTTATGCTAAAGGGCTGAGGCTCTCACATCTCACTGAACTGCTGGTATGGTAGTTAAGAATACCCTAGGACAAGGAGAGGCTTTAGTACGTTTTTGCCTCTTTTATGAGGGACACCATTGTTTTCATTTACTTTTTCGCAGTACTTTGCTGTTGTGCAGTTGGTTTAGAAAGGCAGAAACTGACTGGTTTGATTAGACTGAAATGAGAGAGTAAAACTGGCTATAAACAAAAACTTGCCAATGGAACTGTGCTGAAAGGAGCAAAGACATCTCCTGACATCCTTGCAAACTCAATTTATCAGGAACAGCCAAGATGTGTTAATAGCTACCGTTTTTTGGACACATACAGCTTACTGTGAAATAAACAAGAATGTTAAAAAAAACTTTGCAGAGGAGGAGGAAGTCATCTCCTGTACTGAAGTATACACTGCAAAACAAATCTTGACAGGCTAGGTGGCACTCTCTTGTCTTTTGTCTCTGCTCTGAGCACACTGGCCAGACTTAAAAGGTTGGTTGTAAAAATGTTAGTGGGAGATTTAACTTTTTCTGATTTATTTTTTGAGAGTAAATTTTTGAAAGATGTTACTTTCACCAGCAGAAGTCTCTGCTATGTAGTGCCAAAATACAGTATTTATTGATTTGAAAATATTAGAGACTTTTGCAGGTCTACTTTAGACCTTCTGGGTTCATTGTTTTGGTAAATATGAGGAGAGTGGGAATAATTTAAACAACAAGAAAATGTAACAAACTCAGGTGCTTAATTCTAAAAGATATAACTTCTAGATGACTGTTCTGTTTATCCCAATATTTAACTTTTTTATACAGCAGAGATGGAGGAGAACACAGTGATCTGACGCGTATTCCTGTCCCAATCCAGCTGTATAAATGGTGCTCTCCTGAAGTAATCCTTGAAAAAGCTGTCACAGTCAAATCGGATATTTATAGCTTCTGTACGGTAATGCAGGAGGCCCTGACAGGTATATCTGTAGGTTTAGACTTTTGTCACTAGGGTAGCCCATTGAATGTGCTTAATGTGGACTCTCGTGCCCCCAAATGTCTGCTTAACTTCCTTATGTGATTGTGTAAAACCTTGCCACGATTACACAAATAGAATTAACCTTGAAGAGGAAACTTCAAGGTGAAAAAATGAATGTTAATGACAGTGGCAATAGCTAGTGAAAACTGTTATAAAACGCAATTGAAAAGTTTAAAATTGCATAACTAAAGGATGAGATTAAAGGTAGGAATTAGATGTAATTTTCTGTAGTGTTTTTCTGCCGTTTATCTTTCCCCTTGATGCAAGGACAATAAAGCATTCAGTTAATGCTTTGCAAAGTGCAAAATGAGCCTGTAGAACTTTGATCCTTTTGATCACTATGGTAACTTGGAGATGAACTTCAGGTGATTACATATATATTGACTTTGACTACTTTGACAGTGAAATAAGATAAGCAATTATCCTAAAAATTAAACCCTCTACCAGCTAGTTGAGAATGAAGAATCGAGTGTGTGGGCTATTGCATAACTGTCTACTACAGAGACTTCTGTCAGCTTCCTTGAAATCATCTACTGCTGGCACAGTACACGGGAGAAGCTGGACTAGACTGAGTGCTGGAAGCTGTAAATTATGGAACATTCAGACAGCAATACTTCTGTGTCTCTGAATTTTTGTTACTAGGATTAATATGTAGCTTGTAACATATAAAGCCTGTTATGTGTTTTGCAGAGACCCTTCCCTGGGATGGTTGTGAAGACTCAGTTATTAAGCAACTCATAAGTTTGGGACAGCATTTAGAAGCAGATGTCAGACTTCCTAAACCCTATTATGATATTGTAAAGTCAGGGCTAGAACCTAAACAGAAGAACCGTTCCATGAACCTTCAGGATATTCAGTACTTGCTGAAGAATGACTTAAAGGTGACTTCCGGGATTGTAGCCTTTCATGCTTTTAAAATGGCGCTTGGTTAATCAAGAGTTAATGTCTATTCAAATTTAGGTCATTCTGCTTAAATCTAGGTGGAAGGATTTTTTTGTGTCAAATCTGAACTTGAGAGTATCCTTCTCTGATCATGGAGACAAATCACCTTAAAACAGAAGCTGGAGGCATTGCTTTGTCAAGTGTAATTGTCTTTTATAGCATTTCTCATATTACAGGACTTGACTGAGTCTCAAGCTGGTCGTGCTGATGAAATGCCAAAAGCACAAAGGTCTGCTGTCTTAGCTGACATAAACATCTGTTTGGCATCGTCTTTTAACTACGAGAAGAGAACACTGGGATTGGAAGGAGAAGAGATAACAGAGATTGGTGAGTTTCATTTCCGCAAGATGTCACGTGTCCTTCACTTAGCGTGTCCCTCAGTGCGTGAGGGTCTCATCTTAATAATCAAAATGCAAGCACTTACAGGTTTTTGTGGCCCAGTTTGAAAATAGAAGGCTATGAGGTTTGGATTCTAGCTAGCACCCTGATTATTAACATCAATTCAAGACTGTGTGTCTAATGAGTAATTGAAGTGCAGGCACATTGTCTTCAATAGAGAGAATGAAATGCTGCTCACGTAATAACTAAAATGTATGGACTCCTAAACGGGTGAAAGCAATGCGTTTGGACGTTTGGAGGAATAGCTTAACACTTAACCTCTGATTTTTTTTTTTTTTTTTTTTTTTTTTCAGGCAGCTCTACTGCCCAAAGATGCTCTGTTTTTCCTGAGGAATCTGAGACTTTAGTGGATGCTGAGACACCAAGCAATGTACAGGCAGTTGCACAGGAAAAAAGCCATGATGTAGCTTCTGAACTCCAGGTGACCTGCAGTGTCAGTGATGTGGATGAGAGCCTCTGTAGCTTTGAAATGAATGAAATCTTTGCCAGTTACCCAGAATTTCATGAAGACTTTCTGGAAGAAGGCACTATGTTAGGTCATAATCTGAAGGATAAAAAAGGGCAGCAAAAAGGAGATAAGGCTACCCTCAGAGACCTATTTGCATCCCCTGGAATGCACTATGAGGAAAAGCTAGTTTATGAGGAAGGTAGCTTTTCAGAATTGGGTACAGAGTACACTACAGAAGAGGAAGAAAGGATAAGTGAGGCCTCTGAGCTGTGCAAGGGATCACAGGTGAGAGGAGATGCGGGGAAAAGAATGAGTAGTCCATCCCAAGCTGGGCAGCACATCAGCAAATGTGTACTTAATTTAAAAATTGCTCAGAGCATGTTGCAGCAGGCATCAAGTTCCCTGTGCAGCACAGAGGAGAAACTAAACAAATTAGAAAATTTTGCTGAAAAGCAAAAGCTGCTCCAGGAAATGCAAATGAATCAGACTTCTAAGCAGCTTTTTCTAGAAAGATCCTGGAACAGGTCTGATGATACTGCTCAAAATACCAATAGCCCATTTTCCAGAGCTGATCCTTTTTTATGGAAGGCCATAGGTCCGCCATCAAGTGACTATATTCCACCATTGATAACGTGTCAGGCGCGAGGAGTTTTGGGTGGAGACCGTTTCCAAGCTATTCCAAAGGCAGCTGGGGGAACGTGGGCAATCCAGAATGAGAAAGGGAAGTGCTTTCATCAGAGGAGTAAGACTAAAAACGAAGACAACCTCAGCTTCAGCACAGTGAAAAGCCTGGATGATCAAATGGACCTAGATCAAGAGGTAAAGTGTGGAGCAGGGTGACTGCATTTATCACTACCAGGTTCTTCAGTAGGATTGTGGGTAGTGAAGAGAGACATGGTTCTGGATGCTGCCCAAGGCAAAGGCAGAATCTATAGCTTTTCTGTCTTGTAAAATATGTGTATGCCAGACGCATCGTTCGTGGAATAGAACGGTCAGCTCAGTGGTGCGATAGTGTTATTTCTTTTATTTTCACAAAATACTAGTTTTTTTTTTTCCTTGCATGTATTACAGCTTTATTCTATGGTCTATGGTTTATTCTATGGATTGCTCTACTTTGAACAGTTTCATGCCTGCTTATTGTACTGATAGTTCATGACATGAAAATACTCAAAATAACTTTAAAACTGGTGTTGAATTTTTGTGTCCTGATCATCATGTTAATGTGGCCAATTTTGCATGCAGGAATGCATCATAAATACAAATGTGAAGAGTACGTATTTAAAAAGCACACACATACACACACACACACACACACACACGTACCCCTTGCTATACCTTCTGCATCTGTTGGGTTTTTTTTTTTTTGTTAGCTCACAGTACATTGATATGTCTCGTTCTTCCTGGATCCTTAGTCTGAGCTCTAAAATTATTTTCTAGATTAGACCAGTCCCTCAGTGGGGAAAAAATCTTGTACTACAATGGAGGTAGGACTGTTAGGAAAAAGAGCAAGTAGAAAAAGGTGGGTTTTTTGTTTTGTATACTTGCTTATGGAAGCCAGAGCTGTCACTTCATAATAACTTCTAGATTGTTTTGTTTTTTTACATGTAAGTAGTTGACATGCTTAGCTCGAAGAGAATGGTAAAGAAAGAAATTTGTGCGCACATTTGCTGTGGGAATAATCTTGAGTTGCCTAAGTCCACTCGTTCCCTGTGGAACCACGTGTTGGGGCGGTCATCTTGCATACATAGGAAGTCTGCTAGAAATCCATAGCAGAGTTTTTACTGGGTTAAGGCCTGGAGCTGCCATCCTTTCACATGAGCAGTGTTACTGAAAAAAAGCCTAGGGACTACGGTTTGCATGGTCAGGTTCTTAGTGTGCCTTGTGGCTCCAGTAATAATTACCGTAAGAGTGCCTGATGTGTGCTGAGTCATGGCTTGTTGGACTCATTTCAGCAATTACTCCCACATGTATCTCAGAGATGCAAAAAAAAGTTCAACGTGCAGTGTCAGGAAGGGGATGATTCACGTTCTGCAGCAAGTGGAATTGAAGAAGAAAGGTGGTGAGTTCTGACTGTATTCACAAAAGGATTAATTCCAGCAGATTCATCTCATTACAGCCACTGTCAAAAGTGGACACATCCAGGGTTAAAGATGACATTGAATGTTTTCTCAGTAAGCCAAAAGCTATCTGTCCAATTAGGACCCTGCTGTGACTCATTGTCAGCTGCAGAGCTGACAGGGTAACTACTGCGACAGGGCAGCTGCTGTGAAGGAGTTGTGATCTGACAGATTTCAAACGCTTTTCTGCAGCGGTCTGTGGTCACCACCCAAGAACTAGAATTGGCAGAGGTAGAAACTGGGGTGATGAATGGTATCTCACTGTTTTAAAATGATTTTAAAATGTTTAAATGACTTTAATACCCAGATATATGTGTGTGTGTATATATATATATATAAAATTAGGCATATGTAAATATGTGTGGAAATGAGCAGAGCTTTCAAGGGGTGGTATCAAGTAGGTGGATCCTAAACTGTGACAGTGCCTAAGGAGAGCAATTTAATAAGTTTAAAATAATACCGATGCTGGTTAGGGTGGTTCTGTTCAATTCTAAGTAGAAATACTTAAACTTTCATAGGCAGGCGTAGGAGTAGGCCCTATGTTAGGGACTGAGTGTAGAATCTGTGTCTTGCTAAACCCAGGAGCAAAGAACAAAGCATGCATTGGTTAGTCGTGTTTGCTTGTTTTTTGTCCCTACCCTCTGTAGCGAGCCACTGATCAGCTACTGACCGAATGCAAATCTGTCTAGCGCTCATTGTATATCAGTATTTAGATATGTCATTTGAAGGTAGTTGACAGTCTTTGAAAACTAGATTCTAAATTATTGCTTGTCTAGCTAATCAATAATAATTCCTGTCTGTGCTTTCTAAGCTTCTGTTAGTTCTGTTATATTCTGTTCTGTTCAATATGCTAGTTCCATTGGGTTCTTCAAGTATGTGTGCTCTGAGCCTTCTAATTAACACTGAAAAAGCTTAGTGTTTTCCTGACTTGCGAATACTTGATGCACTACACTTGTGAATAAGTTTGTTTCCTAACAATATGTTGTAGGTGCTGTCCCAAATCAACACCTGACACTTACAGCACCAAAATAAGTGAGGCGAGAAGGATGATGCAATCAGAATGGAGGAGTAAGTAAATTGGTGTGAATTAAACATTACAGTTAGTGATACTTGCTGCAGCATGGTATAATAAAACTTCATACGTTTTGTCACTTAGAGATCTATGTGCCTTAACAGCCTAATAGAGCTACAGCAATTCTTGGAGGAAAACAAGAGGAGTAGGGTCCTGTGTCTTGTTCATTCAGGGTGTGGAGTCATCACAACCACAATTTTTGGCCCTGTTCTGAGGATTTAAGGGAGGGACAGCACATAATTCAGAGTACTATAGCAATGACCACTGGATGGCAGTATAGCATGAAAAAAAATCAAATAAATGAATATTCTTATAAAGACCTGTCCAGGTGATCTTATGCAGGTTTTAAACTTTCCTTAAAAGAGAAGCGTCAAGCTCTTGTAATGAAAAAGAAATCTTCAGCCTCTAACGTTTCCGAGTCTGCAGACACCATGAAACACAGGGAAAGATTTGACAGTTTGAGTTCAGTTGTGTGGACAGGTAACTTTTTTTTTTTCTTTTCATGTAGCCGAAGTAAAGCAAATAGCCAGAAGAGTGGCTTCGGGACAGCTAGAACTCATCTCTCCGTATCCACCCAGTGAATATACATCTGAAAGTGAAGCTGAGAGTATAAAGGAAGCCTTTCAACATGTCACTGTCAGAGTCCAAAAAAGTCAAGACTGGCCAAAAGATAGGAGGTGGAAGGCAGATAACAGTGTTGAGGATCTGGGTGGTGAGGGGAGGTCTGACTCTGAGGAGAGTGATCTGGAGTCTGCATTCAAAAGTTTTGGAGGTAAGGCTGCAGGAAACAAATACGTGTTTTGTTTCTCTCCTGCTCCCACCAGATTTTAGCTTCTGTGATTTTGCTACAGGAATTGGCCATCTTTTCTCCCAGTCTTCCCCCAAAGCAGGTCAATGGGTTAGTCACTGAAGTACATAAATAATAGACTAAGCTAAGTATTGTGTTTTAATAGGTGGTTGTAGTGTCCAGTGAGCTCAGAGACCTTTCATCACTGATCATCATATCAGCATTGGAGACTCAAAGCTTTCAAATCTATGGAACGTGCTCTCCTGCCTTTATTTATTTATTTATTTTTCAATCGAACTTCAAAGCTACTTTTTGCTGTAGCACTATAATAGATAAGTGCTCTCATAACGGTTATGGATAAAGGAACAAGGAAAGCTTCACGTGTCTAGATTAATGATGTCACTGTTTAACTGTTGATATTGCTGCGTGTTCCTAACAGATCACGTAGCTTTGCTATCTTTACGCTCATTGATATTCCATCAGTGGTTCTGACCACTCAGTCAACATTATTCTCTGTATAATAATTGCATCCGTTGTGACATACTAGGGAGAAGTTGCCAGTCACCATCAAAAGATGAGGAAGCAGAGTCTGGAACGGCCCGTGAAAAGAATTCAGTCATTCCTCAAGTCGAGAATCTCTCCAAAGTATGTATAGTAATCCAAGAAATCTAATTTCTGCTAGTTACCTATAAAACAATTTAGCCTAGTCTCTGCATATTACACAGTGAACTATGAAGACAAGCTAACTAGTGCTAACTTTTCAGTTGCAATCTGATTAGCAATCCTTCCCCCCCCCCCCCCCTCTTTTTTTCTACCACCAACGAAACCAAACA